ATTTTTGATTTAATTTCTCTATTGTTATTAATATATTATTTAAAATTTAATTTAAAAATAATGTGCCGAATGATAATAAAAGATTTTCTTTTTTTTCAGAGATTTTCTTTTTTTTGTTCTCGTAAAGAAAATTCAATTATTTATGTTTAGAAAATGTTAATTGTTTTCATTTTTTATAATACATTAGAAATTTATTAAATTAACACCTAATAAAATAATTAATTATTTTGTTTATTTAATTATTTACCGATAAGTGAATGTTTACCTTTCGCTTTTGGACGAATAATTAATCAAGAAATTAATCAAGTAATTAAACATTTCAGTAAATTAATCACGTAATTAAATATTTCAATAAATTAATCAATTTCTTAGATGAATTATATAATTATTAAATAAACAAATAAATATAATAAGAAGAAAAATAATGATAAATTAAAAAAAAATTAATATAATAATATAAATATATAATAATAATAATAATAATAATAATATAATATTAAAATTAATAAAATAATAACAAAAATAATAATAATAAAAATTAACAATAATAATAATTAATAATAAGAATAGGTAATAATAATTATTATTAATATTATTATAATTGTAGTGAAATATTTGTAAATTTTTATTTTATGTGAGTAAAAAATAAAAACAGTTTGGAATCGAATTTTTTTTCCCCATTGAAAATATTAACGTAATTTAAGATAAATATTTTTCCCACATTTAATTTTGTAAAAAACAAAATTTTCCTAATCTTGCCTTGTTTTAAATAATTAATAATCCATTAGCTTGATGTTTGTAGAAAGTTCTGTCGATTTAATTTCTTTTCCACTTGATTATTTTTTTTTGCGACATTTTTGCTGTTGATAATCGATTTACGTATTCCAAACTTATAATTAACAATATAAATGATCATTTCCCGTGCTGATGAATATTATATATTTACATTTTTATTGCAGTATCAAATACCTAATGTTATTATAACATACTTTCTAATTTTGTTTTTTTATTTTTATTATAAATTTTTATTTTGTTTCTATTTTGTTTTTTATTTTTACTATATTTTTATTTTGTTTCTATTTTGTTTTTTATTTTTACTATATTTTTATTATGTTTCTATTTTGTTTTTTATTTTTATTATATTCGTTTTTTATTTTTTGTAAATTTTTTACTTTATATTTGTATTTTAGTTTTATTGTATTTTTAATTTTTATTTACTTTATATATTTATATATTTATATTTTTATTTTGTTAGTTGCTTTGCATGGATTATTTATTTAAAGGATTTTAGTTTAATCTGTTTAAATTTTAAAGTTAATAAATAAAAAAATATTTTTTTAATTATAAATAAATAAAGAAAGAAAGGAAATTTATGTTTTTTATTATTCTAGTTCTAATATAAAAGATAATTTTTTTCCTTATTTTCTTTTTTTTCAATTTTATTTTAAATGTTTTTTTTGTTTTTGTTCCTTTCTTTTATTTAAATTAAATTTATAACGAGGGAAAATAATTAGAAATATATTTTTTTGTTGAATATAAAATTATAATGAGAGAAAAAATGCCAAATATATTTTTGGTTGAATTAAAATTATTAATCAATTAATTAATTTAAATTTTTTTTTATTCTAGTTCTAATATAAAAGATAATTTTTTTCCTTATTTTCTACTTTTTCAATTTTATTGTAAATGTTTTTTTTGTTCCTTTCTTTTATTTAAATTAAAATTATAATGAGGGGGAAAAAAGACCAAATATATTTTTTTGTTGAATTCAAATTATAATTTGAAAGAAAAAAATTGCCAAGTATATTTTGTTCGTTGAATTAAAATTACAATGAGGGAAACAAAATACAAAATATATATATATTTTTTTGAATTAAAGTTATAATGAAAGAAAAAAAAATACTAAATATATATTTTTTTTTTGTTAAATTAAAATATTATAGCTAGAGGGAAAAGTGGAAAATATATTCCATATAAACAAGGGAATGAGAGGAGGAATGCCATATCAAAACAGTTTGATATGCCGAAGCGCGTGTAATATTAGTGTACATGGTTTGTGTGGTGAAACTACTGCATCTCAGAAGTTATGGTTTAAAGTTATTCAGTTAAATCCGCACATCAGGCGAAACTTTCGTAAAACTTATGTCACCACGAAAATTCAACCGACATAGTTTCTGAGCGACACAGGCTCTTATGGAATAATAAATTTTCTGTCAAACTACGAAAAGCTCTCAGTGAATTTGAAATTCGCGCTTATTAGTCGTTTCAACTATATGTACAATATAATACCGTGAGCTCTCATTCAAAAACTTGTTTTAAAGTCGGATTTAACTCTCAAATAACGAACATCATGTATTGAATGTGTATCACATTTCATTAAATTGTATCAGAGGGGAAAATAATTTTAATAATTTATAATAATTTCCAAATGTTTGGAATTTTTTTTTTCTATTTTGTCGATTCTAAATAGCTCAGTTTGCTTCAACATAAAAATAAAAAAAGGAAAATCAAAAAAAAAATTATAATAATAATATATAAAATATAATAATTCAATTATTAAATTAAATATATACTGAATATTAATAATTAAATTTTTCATTTTTCAAATTTCGCGCCAATTTAGTTCATTAAATTACCGCCCAGATGGCATGAAAATTCTCTCATAAGCGAAATGAAATTTTTTCGTACATAAAAATGTAAAAAACGTTCGGTAACAGTTGCAAATAGTCGCAAACTATTTATTTACAAATAATAAAATATTTTCCAATATTAATTAGAAAAATTAATACCTATAATTAAAAATATAAAACGTGACTGATTAAACTTTTTAAAACTAAAATTTTCGCTAATTTAATTAGTGAAATTTGACTATTCTCAAAAATTATAATAAAATTCTTTGAAAAGATTCAATTATTTTCAATATCTACTATTTTCATGAAATTTCGCAAAAGAATTCAATTATTTGAAAAAAGAATGTAAAAATTGACAAAATTCATCCAAAATTCAATTATTTTCATAAATAATAAAATTTCCACAGAAATTCAATTAATTTCGAATATCATTTTGAAAAAAATTTCGAATAAATCATTTCTTCACAATAATTTAATTACTTTCACTAATAATAACATTTTTCATGGAAAATCAATTTTTTAAAAAAAATTTTGATAAAATTCTAAGCAAGAATTAAATTATTTTTATAAATAATAAAACTCATCGAAGAATTTCAATTATTTTCAATACTATTTCGGAAAAATTAATTATTTAAAATAATGTTTATAAAAATTCTTATAAATAATTCAATTATTTTCAAGAAATAAAAAAAAATTTCACAGAAATTCAATACTTTTTAAACATTTTAATAAAATTTTTCGCAATAATTCAATTATTTTCATAAATGATAAAATTCTTCACAAGAATTCAATTATTTTTGAAAATTTTAATAAAATTCTTAGCAACTATTCAATTATTTTTATAAATAATAAAATTCATCGCAGGATTTCAATTATTTTGAATACAATTTTATAGGAATTGCCCAAAAAATGTAATTTTTCTTAAAAATTTAATTTCAATTCCCGGAAAAAATTAATTATTGAAAAAAATGTTTTTTTAAAATTCTTTGGAAGAATTAAATTATTTACAAAAATATTAGAATTTTTCACTGAAATTCAATTATTTTCAAATATTTTAATAAAATTATTCGTAAGAAATGCAATAATATTTACATAAATAATTCTTCAAAAGAATTCAATTACCGTCGATAAATAACAAAATTATTCACGAATATTCAATTATTTTGAGGCATTTTAAAAAAAATTCTTTGCAAAATTCAATTATTTTCATAAATAACAATATTCATCGCAAGAATTCGATTATTTTTAAAAGTAATAAATTTTTTCTTAAAATTTCAATTAATTAAAAAAATTCTAATAAAATCTTTCGCAAAAATTCAATTATTTTCACTAATAATAACAACTTTCATGGAAATTCAATTTTTTAAAAAAAATTTTTGAATTCAATTATTTAAAATAAAATTTCTACAATATTTATTACATTTCGAAAAAATTAATTATTTAAAACAATGTTTATAAAATTCCTACAAAGAATTCAATTATTTTCAAAAATAACAAAACTTTTCACAAAAATTAAATTCTTTTTAAACATTTTAATAGAATTTTTCGCAATAATTTAATTATTTTCATAAATAATAAAATTCTTCTCAGGAATTCAATTGTTTTCAAAAATAACAATATTCATCAGAAGAATTCAATTATTTTTTAAAGTAATAAATTTCTTCTTGGAAATTCAATTATTTAAAAAAATTCGAATAAAATCGTTCGCAAGAATTCAATTATTTTTAATTATTTTCATAAATAATAGAATGCTTTTTAGGGATTTAATTATTTTCAGAAGAATTTAATAAAATACCACACAGACATTCAATTGTTGTCAAAAATTTTAATAGAATTCAATTATTTAAAAACTTTTTTTTGGTAAAAATCTTCTTAAGAATTTGATACTTTTCATGAATAATAAGAATTTCTCAGGATTTATTTAAATTAGAATTTGCATAAAATTTAGTCAAAAAAAATCAATTATTTAAAAATATTTATAAAATTCTTGACAAAAATTAAATTATTTGTATAAATATTTAAATTCTTTCATGAATAATAAAATTTGTTGCAGGAAATTAATTATCGAGTGCGAAGTCTGTTTTTAATTTTTTAAAAAAATTTTCAAACAGATTTTTTTTTTTAATTTCTTTTTTTTCTAAAATACTTTCTGTACTGTTTCTTTTACTTTTTTTTATCGTTATCAATTTCCCTGGGTTCTTTCTTTCGTTTTTGCCAATTTTTTTTCCTTTTTCTTCATTTTTTTTTTTTTTTCTTTTTTTGAGGAAAATTTTATTTTCCAATATAAAAAGTGTCACTTGTGCATATAGTGAAGAAAATTTTCAATTCTTTATGAAAGAAAAAGAGAGTGAGAGAGAGATTCACACTCACCGTCCTCGTGGGTCGTTTCACAGCACACGTTTTACTCCCACGTCACTTCCCGAACCCGCGTAATCGAATATCGAGCAATCGTTCTCTCGCGGTATAGTCAGAAAATAAATTTCGCGACGTTTCCTGCCAACCTCATCGAGAATATATAGACTTTTGTCCCAACTGGTAAAAGAGAGAAAAGAGAGGGAGCAAAAGTCTGCCCTCTCTTCTATTATATGTATGTACCTATATAATATTGTAGAAGGAGGCAAATATATATCTAAAAGAAAATGCTCCTTTCTTATTTCATCTTTTCGTTATTCTCTATATATACTTTGTTTTTTTCTTTTTTTTCAAAAAAAAAACTCTTTCTCTTTTCCTTCTTTAAACTTTATTTTTATGTACATATACTCCCAGGTATTGTATATTCTTGTAGTTTGCTATTGTATTTAAACAAGTTTTCAAAAAGAGGAATTTTTTGGAATCAATTATATGATTTGTGAAAAATATCTCTAGATTGACAAATTTTTTTTTTCATTTTTCTGTAGTGTCGTTAATATTTTTTTGCCAAGTCTTCTAAGCGCTTAAATCGAAAATGCTTTTTCGAAAATTAACCGAAAAAGCAAAATATATATAACAATATTTTTTTAAAACTAATTTGAGCAGATTTGGTAAAAAAAAATAATAAAAAAAAAATTGATTTATAGGAAAGGGTATAAAACTAGATGGCGCCATTACTCAGCCAAGATTAATAGGCTGAATTTTTTTTTCTTTTTTAAATGTATAAACTGGTTGAAAAAGGTGAAAAACTAGATTACGCCAGGATTCAGCCACGATTGTCAGGAAATGTCACGCCAAATTTGGGCCAAGACTGATTCAAGATTTTTTTTTTTTAGTAAATTTTTCCACCTAAGCTTTTTGGCTCTCAAATTTTTTTTTATTGTTAATTTTGTCACCCAAGTTTGGGCCAATATTCGTCAAATTATAATATTGTCATTGTTTACTAAACTTACAGAATTAAAAACTATTTATTAAAAATTTTAAACTGGTGACGAAAATATTTAAATTAATGTCGAAAAAAATGATAAAGTATTAAATCGCCAATTTTGGGTGATTCTTGGCGTATTATTGGTGGACCAATAATATTTAATCTCTTGTAAAAATAATTACCAAATTCATTTTACATATATTCTTTACCAAAAGTGGAAATTAAATAAATGACAAATTTTTAGTATAAAAAATATTGAAACTTTTAGAATAAAAAATCTAAATCTAGGGTGAATCTTGGCACAATATTAATAGTTTGTAAAAATTCATTACCAAAATCATTCTACATTGCTTGCTGAAAGTAAAAAATAAATGTTTCCTAAACTTCTAGTGTAAGACATATTAAAACGTTTAGAACAATAAAAATAAAATTTGGGGTGAATCTTGGCACAATATTGGCTGCGAATAATATTCAATTTTTTGAAAAATTAATTAGTAAAACCATTCTACATTGCTTGTTAAAAGTAAAAAATAAAAATTTGCGAAATCGTTAGTGTTAGAAATACTGAAAAGTTTGATGAATTGATGAATGATGAAATTCTAATCTAGGGTGAATCTTGGCACAATATTGGCGGTGAATAACATTCGATATTTTGCAAAATTAATTATCAAATTTCTCCAAATATTGTCACAATCTTCGCTGACAATATTATTTAATAGCTCTGCCTATCGAACCTGGTTGAATATTGGCACAATTTTAAATAATAAAATTGCAATGTCAAAAATATTAATTATAATAAATTTAATTATATTATAAATTATAATTTCTTTATTCTGAATAGATGTATTTTTATTGTTTATTTTTTTTGTTATATTAAAAAATAAGAATAATATAATTAATTATAATAATAATAACAAAGCATAATAATTATTTTTATGCAATAAATAATTCCAAAGAATAATGTTTATACTAATAATTAATTTTTCTCTTGTTTCAGGTGAGTCGATTTTCCATTAGAACCACGTTTCCTGTAAGTCTTCTCTTTTATTCTATCATCTTCGTTTTATCAATTTTTTTCCTTGGAATTTTTAAATTCATTTTCTAAAAAAAACCACATTTATTAAAGAAGCTAAAAAAGAAAAGCGGGGAAAAAAACAAGTGTCTCTCACATATAAAATTGACTCGTATCCGGTTGCAAATTTTTAACTTCACGCCATAAATTTCCTTTCATTAAAAATTTTTTTCTTTTTTTTTATGAAAAGTTTGTCTTTGCACTTTAGCAAAAAAAATTTATATACCATATGAATCTCGAAAAGTTTTGAGATCAAAGTACAAAGTTTTTTTTCTATGCATTAAAAATACTTAAGTGTATTACTTAAGTTTAAGATAACTTGTTGAAGCAAGAATGAAGATTTGCATTATTTACGTTTCATTTAGAAATCATTTTTTTTCTCTGCAAAGTTTTTTTTATTTATTACAACAATGAAATAATATTTATTTTCGCCTTTTACATAATATTTTTCCAAAAAATAAAATTCTATGCAACAATGAAATTATTTCAGATTAAAAATAATAAAAGTTACAAAAATTCCAACATTTCTTTTTGACAAAAATGTCTTTTTTTAATATGAAAAAAATTCACTTATTGCCTAATTAATTAATTGATTACTATTATCTTTAGAAACTTTAATAAAGGATAATAAAGAAAGATAATTAATAAATTTGCAAGAATTGAATTATTTTAAATACAATTTTAATAAACTTTTTCAAAAAAATTTTATTATTTTTAAAAATTTGAATAAAATTCTTCTAAAGAATTCAATTATTTTCAATACAATTTTAATAAAATTTCTCGAAAAAAACAAAATTCTTGTAAAAAATTTAATTATTTTCAAAAATGTTTATCAAATTTCATACAACAATTCAATTATTAAAAAAAAAAATTAATTAAATTCCTCAAAATTTTTTGAAAATAAGTAAATCTTTTTGAAGAATTTAAATAAAATTATACTGAAAATAATTGAATTATCTTTAATAAAATTAAAAAATTTTTCCATAAAATGCAATTATTTCCATAAATTTTAATAAAGTTTCTCAAATTAATTCAATTACTTTTAAAAAATTAAAATAAATTTCTTAAAAACAATTCAATTATTTTCAATATAATTTTATTTTAATTCTTGAAAAAGATTTACTAATTTCCAAAAATGTTTAATAAAACTTTTCCAAATAATTTAATTATTAAAAAAAAATTATTATTATTTTTAATTAATAATAAATTTAATAATAAATTATTTTTAATAAAATTTCTAGAAGAAAACAAAATTCTTCTAAAAAAATTTAATTATTATCAAAAATGTTGAAAAAATTCCATAAAACAATTTAATTATTAAAAAAAAAGATTAATAAAATTCCTCAAAAGAATGTACCTTGTTATTTTTTATTCAATTTCAATTGAATTCTTTAAAAGAATATAATTTAATTAATTTTAATGTATAATTTTATTTAAATTCTTCAAAAAGCTTTAATTATTTTTCAAAAATTTGAATAAAATTCTTCTAGATAAAGAATTTTTGAAAAAAAGTTTTATTCAAATTTTTGGAAATAAGTAAAAATCTTTTTGAAGAATTTAATTAAAATTATATTGAAAAGAATTGAATTGTTTTTTAATGAAATTAAAAAATTTCTCGATAAAATTCAATTTATTATTTACATAAATTTAAATAAAATTTTTCAGAAAAATTTAATTACTTTTAAAAAATTCAATAAATTTCTTAAAAACAATTCAATTATTTTTAATATAATTTTATTTAAATTCTTCAAAAAAGATTTACTTAAATTTTCAAAAACTTTAATAAAACCTTAAATTATTTAATTATTAAAGAAAAAATGAATTTTATACAAGAATGAAATTATTTCAGATTCAAATTAGTAAAAGTTATGAAATTTCTAAAATTTCTTTTAACAAAAATGTCATTTTTTAAAATGAAAAAAATTCGCTTATTAAATAGTTAACAAATTAACTAATTAATTACTATTATTTTGAAAAACTTCAAAAGAAGATAATAAAGGATAATTTAACAAATTTGCAGAAATTCAGTTGCTTTACACACAATTTTAAATAATTTTCTCGAAAAAATTCAGTTATTTTCAAAAGATTTAAAAAAATTCTTCTATAAATAATTCTCTCTCTTCTAATTATAATTAAATAATACCTATAGTAGTATGAACTGTACTTATTTATATTTGTTTATATATATATATATATATATATATATATATATATATATATATATATATATATATATATATATATATATATATATATATATATATATAATATAATAAAATATACAATTTTTTTATATATTATATTAATTTCTTATTAGGTATTAGAATTTATTAGTTTATTTTTTTTAAATAAATTTATTAATTTATAATTGATAAATTATTAATTCAGTATTAAATAATATGAATAATGATAATAATAATAATAATAATAGTACTAATAATATTAATTTATATTCTAAAATTTGTATAATATAGCACAGAGTGGAAATGAGAAAAAAAAATTGCCTTGTTCTTTTTTTTTTGTCACCTTTGTCGAAATTTCAATTTCCCAGGACAAACGAAACTGTATGCTATTCGACAGAGTGCAACCGGAAGACATGTATACATAGAGTATATATATATATATATATACATATGTAGTGCTTTCACGACTACTCGCGTTGTTATAACAGTGCTTCAACATATATACACGAATGTCTAGAGTTGTTTTACGATCGTATAGTTGTATATGCGCGAGAAACGTAATTTCGGACTTGGGTCCAAATGCGCCTATGCAAGTGCGTTACAGGTAATAATAGTAAATCTTTAAATAGCAATCAACTACTGAATTTATAACAATGTTTATTTCTTACTTCTCTCTCTCTCTCTTGAGTGAGTTGAAGAAAATTTTTTATTTTAAGATCATTTGAAAGTATACCGTTTGGCTATGAAAGAATTTAAAAAAAAATAAAAAAGAAGGAAAAAATTATCTTATGGGTTGATAATGGAAATTATGAAATTATTACGAAATTTTTGTAAAACGTGTAAACAATTTTTTTTTTAATTTACAGACTTTGGATTATTAATTAAGAGGCGTAAAATAATAGGTATTTGGTTATTTT